TATATATAGTCAAGATGTGCATATTGTATAAATGACAGCCTTATATAAAGGCTTGTAGACATAAATCTTTTTTTTTACTTTCTGTGCCAGTTTATATCCCACAAAAGCAGAAACATTGGTTTAAAGTAGATATTGACAAATACCATTTTTTAAAGGCCAATGTCGATGCTGATTACTTTGACATCAGTCTAACTGATCACCGATATGTGCTGCCGATTTTTTGGGCCGATTTTAAAAAACTTAAACAATGATAATAAAGTCTCAATTCAAAGAAAAAAAGATACATTTATTAACAAAACAAAAGATATTAACAATGGATAACAAACAATGTGGAACATTTAAATATATAACAATAAATAGAATCTTAAATTAAGATTGTTTTTATTGCATTGGCAAACAAGCGTGTATCAGTTGATGCCGATTTAAGTAAAAAAAAATACAAATATTGGTCCAAAGTATCAGCTGGCCGATGTATCAATCGACCTTTAGTTTACACTAATTTACAATTTTATTTATGGAACTATACCTATAAAAGAACATCTATTCATGTACACCACAAACATAGACATAAACAGAAAGAGCTCTAGATAACCAGTCATCACTGCATACTAAACTGAAATCAACACTGTCGTAGCTCAGAAAAGCATAACCATGAAAAACCAATAACAGATTTTCTTAGCATTAGAAGCTAACCAGAGAGATTTTAATGATGCATTTTAGCTAATAAGTAGTTTGTCATTCCTACAAACTGCAATCACAAAACTGAAAAAGTTTCAATAATGATCTGTTGTTTGGCTGGTGGTCCTCTTTTGCATGTGACCAACCTGTTTGTCCACCATGTGCAGACAGCGCTTATAAGGCTGAGTTCACCTGAAACTCCTGAGATTGAAGAAGTCTCTTGGAGGAGAGACAAAACGTTTTATTGAAGAAGAACCCATCCAGAGGACCTACTTTGCTTTTTTTTTTTGCGTTTTGATTTTTCTACCTGGACTAGATGCATGAGGACAAGGGTTTAGAATCGTATTATTTTGTTGACAGACCAAAGCACTGCCTCAAAAGGGCCCCAAAACACAAAAAAACTCATTGAGACTAAGAAACCGTCAGCATTGTTCTGAGCACAAATGTACAACATATGCACAGGACTTGTCATAATTAACTGTTTTTATTTGTTTGTTTTAAATTGCAAATAAATAAATGACCTGTTTAATCAGTCAGGCAATTGTTAACTATTTATGTTTATCATTTTACCGAGAATATCATTCAATATACATTATGAACAAAACCTTATTTAACATTTTAATCTATTACCACTGGCAGATCCCTCCTGATGACAAAACGGGATGCATAAAATTTAATGGCCATCTTGTTTTAATTGTTCAAATTTTCTCTCCTTCTCTTTTTAAAGGTGACAGGGCCATTACTCCAAAGTCACCACTTATCTGCAGTATCACTGAGGATTAATGGTTTCACTTCTGCTAGTAAGAAATGTTCAAGTTGTCCCGATTATCAGAGCAAGAAAAAGAATAATGGTTATTTGTCATTGTGTTAAGCAGTGGGGGACTAATCTAACAAAACACTCAGTTAGAAACACTGTTAACCCTTTGCTGGTGAGACTGAGTGGGACACGTGTTGGACTGAGGGCAGCGGTGGCRCCTCGGTCTGGATTGTTTGTCTTCAGGAGAGCTGTGTCAATCTGATTTACAGCCGCATTATTTAGAACTAGCTGTAGGATTGTGTAAGGAACAAAAGTATGTTCAAAAGGGAGCGGTAAGGAATAAAAGATGTGCACGCTGTCTAAAAATGAGTTTAAACTTTTAGTAATTTGCAATGATATCTAAGTTAAGGGAACGCTTCAGCTGTGTATTCTGCTTTTTTTCTGAATCTGAAAACTAACACAGGCTCAAGAAGCTTAAAATGATTCAATAACAGCTCATGGTAAACAAACAAAAGAGAAACAGAAATAAGATTATACAGTAAGCTTTAAACTATAACATGGATTTTCTTCCAGGGGATAAAAGTGAAATAAAAACTATAAAGTTAAGCATCATGATGGCAAATTAGGCTTAGAATTTAGATTTAGATTGGGATTTATGGTTTGTTTGTAAAACGAACAATTACCACCACCAGTAGCTGCCACACTACCCATTTAACACATTTGTCTTGTGAAGGATTTTTTTCCCTTCTTTTTTTTTTCTTTTTTTCCAGCGGTATAGTCCCTGAAGCTTTTGTACTGGTGGTGCACGCTTGTTCCTGCTCCAGTAATCGCCTACATTATTTTCCTTGTCTGTCACCTTTATAGTATCTATTAGCCACTCTCCACTATCTGTTTGCGGGGCATTTTCTCTTCCTTTTTTCCCCATGAATGTTTTATATATTGGAGGGAGAATGATTGTTCTTTGCAATGAGGCCAGTGCGTGGCCTCAGTAAGACAAATTGCTCCAGAACGCCTAAATGGCAGTCAATGATAACTCATTGTAAGGAGAGTAAGTGACTTCCAATGGAGTGGATAGGGAACAGAGAATAATGGCAGAGCACAGGTGAAAAATAGATGTTTGCCTCAGTGTAATTACTCCATTAGGGGGCTCTCTGTTAATCTAGCCGAGCCACAGCGAGTGTTTTTACAGCGATGTGGAGGTGAGGGGCAAAAAAAAAATGACTGCAACCCGGACAGAGAGGATCCCCTCTACCTTCACAGTCACAACACACAAAATGAAGTGTTTACTAATGAACAAATGTACTCCCAGTTTGTGCTCACTGACGCATCCCACATAAGTATGTGGATAGATTTATTGATAAAGTTCATCATTTTAATTACCTTGGAGGATGGTCCCATGCATTTCACAGAGCTTTAACCTTTTCCGTCTGAGCCAAGTGCAGGAGGATTGGCGTTTACTTCAGCAAACCTGTTAAATATGAAAATCTGGGTTAGGGAAAGAAAAAAAATGAAACAAAAAAGGGGGACAAAGAAGAAACCACCCGCTGCAAATCAACACCCCCGTTCTGCAGATTTCCAGACAAACATAATGAAAAAAAGTTTTTTTTGACCATTTGGTGTCTGCTGCTTCTGCCTGTGGCTATATAGACAAAAGGAAGCTTGGGGAGGAAAGAGAAAAAATGGCCCAATATGGTCTTAAGAGTTTACTCTGACCACACAATCTGTTTTCTTAAGTCAACTTTTAAAACACGGCTCTGAGCAGTGCCCACAGCATTATCAGCGAGGCTCACACTGACCTTGTATTCACCTTTATACTATTTCCCATCTGTTTAGGTTCCACCCAAGAATTCATCCCAGTTGGCTGTAGGCCCACTCTGCGCTGGGCTTCCTCAGTGGAACCWCGAACAAAACCCTGCAGAAAATAGACTTTCTGTTTGGCCTATATTTTGCAGAAATCTCAGTTTGTCTCTATGTTTCTTTCAGCACTTGAAAAAAAAAATCACTTTTCATATCTTTTTTTTGCAATGTGCAAGATGCATTAGTTCAGTCCTTCAAAACAATCAAAAACAGTACAAAAAAGTGAATTCCATTTTAAAAGATTAATCATAATATYGCTAGGCTGGCACCACCTTAAAGAGTTAGAGTTCATTTGTCTCCTTAAAATGTACAGGTTGATTCACATTTGAGACCAGAGCAAAAACATAACATGCTCTGTTATCGCTGGTGTTGTAAATCCTCACAGTAACTCATTAGAGGAGTAAACTGACCTTCAACTGAAGAAGGAAAACGATTAAAGCTGACATCTTGCAGCAGCGGCACAAAACACAGACGCACAAAAAAAAAGCGTCCAGCTGGACAAATGCTTTCTGCTTAGAAATCTACAGGTTGTGGTTAAAAAAAAAGGGTGGACTTCCAGTGTTAAGGACAGTAAGAGGTGCCATTATCAGTCAGTGATGAAAACGAAGACGGTGACCCGATTAAGGCGAGAATTTCTGGGTCATGGTCTTGTTTTTCAGTGCTTAATTTGTCTATCGATAGCGACACGGTGCGTAGCTCGCACCTACCTGTAATATTATCTTTCTGAAAGTCGTGGTTCAGACAGGGGCCTTGTCACTGTAACCCTACACGGAGTGGGTGAGTGAGGGAGTGGATTTAGCTTCAGGCAGCGGCGGGGGGAGGAAGCACCGGCTGCCGGCCAGCCTGACTGCCTGCACGGCGGCACTGAAATTGCGGGCTGCGGCGCCACTCAGTGGACGCTTCGGTTTCTGGAGCGTCTGCTTGTGGCTCTGCAGCCTTCAGGGCTCAGACAATATGTTCCAACTGCTTTCCAACTTTTCACCACCTAAAAAAGGAAACTCCATACTTGGAAAACTTTGATGCCTGAAAATAATCTGTGATTATGAAAAAATATAAATATACAGGATGCAAATTAAATTATATTTTTAAGAATTCTGTTTATATTTAAGGTAATATAACAATAATTGAATAAGTTAAAAAAAAACCTAATCAAGTGAAAGAAGGATCTACTTTCTTTCAGAGTCCTCGGAAGCAATTTAGCACTACATTCATTGTTGCAAATGCACTACGTAAAATATTTCAGGTTATTACTTTAAAAAAATGTGAGAACTAGTTTAACACACATGATGTCACTAATTTCTGATATAAATTATGCTAAATTATTGTTAATGTTTAAGCTGTTTGGGACCATTGCAAAACAAGATGGATGGATGAGTAGATGGYTAGATAGACAAATAGATATGAGTAGATAGATAGGTTTGTAGATATTTGGGTGGGTAGATACATAATTTCAGACTAAAACAAGCTAAAATAGTCATAATAYCATATAAATTATGTGTCAGCAAAATTGAGTGGGTTTTGCCCGTGGAATAAAAAGGCTCTTCTTGTGGCCTTTGGTGTGCAGCAACAAACAAGTTCATAGTGTCTGTGGTCTTTGCTTTTTAGGGCGTCCTTCTGAGTCACATCCATTCCCCTTCATCTCATGCAAATGTGGTACCAAAAAAAAAAGATATCTTGCTTTAAAGACGTGGCAGCCGGTTTAAAAAAGAGCTGTGCTTAGTGTTTGAAGTCCTAAATGTGACAGTAGACTTCAAGAGAAAGGACCCAAGACTGGCAGTCTAAAGATGAGTGAGAGGCGTATAGAGAACATGTTTTTTTTCCCATCCAGAGGGATATTCTGTGGCCAAGCTTGATTATTAGAGATGAAGGACAGGCTGAGAGGACGTGGGATTGTTAAATTCTTGAATCCTCTCAGCAAAGCCACCCCCCATTACTATATCATTCTTCCGCACTCAATTTCTGTGCATTTTTGGGTACTTTTTTTATTTTAGAGCTGAATAAAATTCAGATTTGTTGATGATATGCAATAAAAAGAACATTTAAGGATAATGAAAATGTAGGCTATCATATTGAAATTTATTTATTTATTTATTTTTAATAGACTGAATTGGAATTGTTTAGATTACTAAACCTGTGCGACTGATTCGAGTTTCAAGTGCTGGCAAATATTTATAAGCGTATTCTTTTAATATTAATGACTACACAATGCATGTAGACAGCACTTCAGTTCACTGTGAAACCCTGGCTGTGGATTTAAAACCTCTGTTCCCCTTTCTGTGAGAGTCTGTGCTTCATTCAATGCCCCGTCCATTATTGCCAGCATATTTGAAAAGTGCTAAGCCTTGAAATGAGTCCCATATTATTTCAGGCCGGACTGAATATTTCACGGCGGGAGGCAGAAAATGAGACCTTCCCTCAAGAGACTGCCTGCAGTGCATTCTACTTGGTGAAGCAAACGGAAGGTCTCATACTGTGCAAAACACACTTGAACAAACAATTATATATTTATCCGCTGCACTTGTGAGATTTTTCCTTATTTTTTTATGTTTGTGGGAGTGCAGAAGAATTGGAAAAATGCAAAAACCATGGAAAACGAACAAAACTTTCTTACAGTTTGCAATCATTTTGTATACATACGGCAGGGACAGTTAGAATTTATTTCACCCACAACATTAGGTATTTTGCTACTACTACTATCAGTACATAGTATCCAAGGGAAAGTGAAGCTCCCTTTGAGTTGCAGAGCTACAGTCAGAGTAAAACACAAGCAAGCTGAAAACAGGAAGCTAACCAGATTGATTCTTCATTCACCTCCTTGAAATCAAATCCTGGTCTTGTGAGATTAGTCTGCGCTCCGGTGCACAATTTTATAAACGTGTAACAGAGAAGGCCCAAGACAGTTGTCTGGTAACAATGATGTCTTTGGATTGATTCTAGACATTCTATTCTGTAGTAGGTTTTCTATTTTTTTATTTTTTACTCTTAGTTGAAACAGTTAWCAACCTCATGGTTCATTTTATTTTACAATATTATCCAATGAGTCCATTTACTCTTCATAGTAGACTTGAGAAAAAAAAATCAAACAACAAAGCTCTGCCTAATCATTAAAACTTCAGCTAGCAGCGACCTTTGGGAAGGATCCATATCTGTGTCCCTGTAAGAACTGACGTGGATGGCAAGCACTTGTGTCCTTTGTGTTTTGTGAAGATATTGAGTGTTTGAAGTGTTAACCCTGACACTGCGCCTTTGGGGCGAGGAGGCGAAGGAAACATGTCACACAATAGGATGGGACTTGGATCTTTGCTTCTCCTTCTCTGACCTCTGACCCGTATTGGTTTTAAGGGTTGCAGTGGCCCCAGCTCCTTACGGGTAGTGTCTGCCTCCATCACGTCATGAGTTTGTGTACAAGTGGCAGTATCGCTCAGCTCATAACAAGATTAAGTTCAATTTGCTCCTTAAATTTCTCCTGTAAAATTTATGGCTTGAGCCATAAATTCCCCATGTTATCATGATGCAAAGTTTAGATGAGTTTATTAAATTGCATTTTRAAAAGATATTTTCAACGGTGTTTTATGTAGCTTTACAATTCATTGCACAAGTGGTGAGTCTACAAAGTTACAGTTTGTCAACATTTAATGGGCTCTTTGTTTAGTCTGCTTTTATCCTCATGCCTGACTTCAAAAGGCTTGGCTATCTTTTAGGTATTTGCTGTCATGGAAATGACCTTTGGTAATGAATCTTTGAATTTTGGTTGACAATGTTTTTGTGTGATCTCTCCATGTTATATGCCTCCAGTAGCTCTGCTGACACAACCCACTGAGGCCACACATTAAACAGTATGCCATCTGCACCTGGAGCATGACTATCAGCTCTGTCCCCCCCCCAACACACACGCTGATTTATCTGGAGCTTTTTCCTGCCTCTGTGTAGGCTGACCCTGCTCTTCCCATTCCAGGCTACAGAAGCCAAACCAAAGGCAGCTTTCAAGGGGGACTGTCTGCTCAAATCAAGTCACAGGCCTTTTTAGAACTGGTTCAGAGATCATAGCAAGTAGAAGTCAGGGAAGAGAATGACCCTCTCCTCAAGGCTTGATCGGATCTTGGCCCAGTCAAACCCAGCAGGGCTCGGTCTCTGGACAGCTCCGTCTCTGCGGGCTTTGACTCTCTGATAGCGCGAATGAAAGAGGGCACCAAGAGAGCAGCAGTTCTGATGTGTCAGGCTCAATGTCCTGGCAGACTTGCAGAGCAAAGTGGGCAAAGCAAAGGACACAGCCAGCAGGCRCAGGTCCAGAATAAGACCCCTATATTGTGTGACATGTCATCTAATGACTGTCCCTTTGTTTCAGATCTTTGCATCGGACATTAGTTGGGGCCAGTGATAAAGGTCACAAGACGAATAAGCAAAGCAGGCTCTTTAAAGGCACAAATGAATGTTAAATAAGATGAAATAATAAGTCAAATAGCCAATTAGCAAACTGAAAAATTTTCTGTTCCCGCAGATTACATCAATGCTTTATGTTTATAAGTTCACATTCTATAAAAGCAATTGTTTTTAGCGTTAGCTTTTTGGATAAAAACAATTATATGAGATTTTATGATGACTCTTACTTGTTTTATTGCATCAAATGTGAGAAAACTTTGAAATTCTGCTCACTGTACACACAGCTCCGTATTGAATAGAGAGCTGGTTGTGTCTTGTTGACACAGAGGATTATTTACCCTGTGTTTCTGACCCTTTTTTGCTTGACTTGGGCTCGCCTTGCTCACACCTCCACAGATCTCAGCATTCATTAGGCTCACGTATTTACTTAAAGCCTCGCCGCCTCTTTGCATAATGGCAAGCAGGTTTCCCGGCCAGTGTGCTTCAAGTGCTCTGTGAGGATGCAACTGAATTTTAAACACGACGCGTCTGGCTTCGAAGTTGACCTTGCACAAAAAGGCTCGGTGATCTCATTCTTCGCTTCAGTTGAAAGCTGCTGATTCTCTATGTTACAGTGTTGCCTCTGTAAAATAAAAAAAGAAG